TGTCAAAGTCAGGACCTATTCACTGTGAATCCTGCACTTCACCGGATTTACTATCCAGGAATTGTAATTCATTAAATTGCACAACATAAAAATGACGGATGAGTTCCTGACAAGGGAAGTGACTCTAAGCCTTTCAGAGAAGGGATAGTAACTACGAATAGAAAAAACTGTTTTGATTTGGAACTTTACTTTAACACAATAGCTGGTAGATGCTGGTACCATTTACATTAACTCATTTGAAGACACATTTGAACCCTTCCGTTTCAAAGGTTGGAATAGTTCATTATGAAAAATCAGGGGTGAATGAGTTAAATTAACACATTTGATTAGATCCAAATCAGATGTGGAATTCCAGTTTATTAACTGCAAATTTACGCATGCAGGAAAGTAAATTTCTCCGTGACATCCTATTGATATGATAAAAGATATGTTTCATTTAATTTATCTTAGGAAACTGCATCTTATTAAAATATCTAGGGATTTGATTGAGAGTTGAAGTGGTTTTCATAAAGGGTCCTTTTTACACCAGAGATTTGTGAGTCCTCGGGCAACTTCGTGGGACAGATCACACGCAATAATTGGTCAATTTTGTTTCGTTTTACATTTTAAATTTAATTTTCACAAGTCTGAGTCAGAAAATTGTTTGTATTGCTAGCTGCTCCATGTGTTACCTCCCTAATTGACAATTAAAAAATACTGAAATAGGTTCCCGAATGTAAATTATATTCATCAGTTTTAAGCTTTCCTGTGTGAATTTCAAAATTCTGATGATTCACACCTGATCATTTTTAACAAGAAGTTGTTTTCACCTTAGAATGTGTGTATTTTCTCACGTTAAGAGAGGAATTTAGTTTTTTTTATGTCTACATGCTCGTTGCACATACCACTAACAGAATATATTACACACACTCGGTGACACAGTTCAATTTCTGCTGGCTGAACAGGTTTATGATGGGTTCAGCATGTGGGAATGTACTTTTTAATATTTTTATGTATATTACATTTTTTTTTTCATATATTCAGATTTACAAATAAATTTTGAAACATTAGAAGTTATATTAAGTAGTTACCACCCTATGACGGTGGAGTAGGGTGAAGATGTGTTCATTTTAAACAGATTAAGTGATATACTGTATACTCAACTTATGCAGTGATTATGGGGATTCAGATATATTAGTCCTGGACACATGCTTTCCCTATGGGATTCAAATATATTAGTCCTGGACACATGCTTTCCCTATGGGATTCATCAACATTTTTATAATGACACTCAGGACTCAGCTGAGAAATTAACAAAAATCATTTTAGAGGTGTTCATCTAGCAGGCGTTATTTCCATGAACATTACTTTTATTAAATCAAGATTTTTATCCTGAACATTAAATTATTCACCCCTGAAGTTTCATAATGAACTTTTCTAACCTTTGAATTACTAAATTATTCACCCCTGAAGTTTCATAATGAACTTTTCTAACCTTTGAATTAGAAGAGTTCAAATGTGTCTTTAGGGATGAATAAGTTAAGCAATGAATTATACTGTTTAATGTTATAAGGGAATCTTATTGGTAATAGACACCTTAACTCATTCACAACTGACATTTCATAATGATCTATTCCAACCTTTGAATTGGAAGAGTTCAAATGTGTCTTCATGGGTGAATGAGTTAACCTTTGCGTTGAGTCGGTAGGTTGACATAACTATTTGTCCTGTAATTAGCCCATGCCTGGTAATAAGCCCATTCATATTTAATGCAGTTCAGAAAAAATGCAAACAAATGCTATATTTCATTGTCATGTTTTATGCCCTTCCCCCTAATGTGTTTGCCCCCTAGGCTATTACAGGATATGTACGATGACCCCAAACTGTACAAGCCAGCAGCACCGCCGCCGCCCTAAAAATTAACAATGGCACAAAACAAATTTGTTAACTAATTCACCCCTGAAATTTCATAATGAACTATTTTAACATTTGAATTGGAAGAGTTCAAATGTGTCTTCAGGGGTGAATGGATTAATTGGGACAATATTGACACCGACGACATGTTCAGTAAAGTCCCGCTGTTGTAAAACTTAACGTGTTGTGTAAGCTCCCATGCAGTGGTTCACAGAAGGTGTAATATGATGACATGGTAAGATGATCTACCTGTATGTTTGTCACCTGAGAGTCTACAGTCACCTGTGTGGTGCAGGTATAACAAGGTGTTACCTGTAACACAGGTGTCAACAGATGCTGTGTTCGCACTACCAGATATAATAAACACGAAAATTGGCTTAGTATCAAAATACAATTCTGTGTAAGTTCCATTAACATTGGGCTTAAGTTGTAAAACAGAGGTAGAAACAAAAGGTGTTTAATGTCAAGTATGTATATATGTTTGTTATATTATTTATCCCTGAAATTTCATGATGAACTATTCCAGCAGGACAAAAAAGTTTTAAATAAATAAAAAAATATATATTATTGTCAAAATTGGTGTCAGGAGGGCACATATAAATGTTATTTAAAACCTGATAAATGTCACGTTTATTGTCAAATGATACATAAAAAAGTGGAGGTTGGTTGGAAGCTTTAAGCTATTTTCTACATGTCTTACAAAAGGTATTGGATGTTTGAAGGGTGAGTGACTCCATAATAAAGGGCCTACTACAACGAACATGAGTCATATATGTATCTGGTTCAACCAGTTTCTGATCGTAAAAAGGCCGTGGCTAAGTTTCCATCAATCAAATTTTATTTATGATTGACTTTGATAAAAAAAATCTTTTAGCTCATTGCACAAACTGGTAAAACAAATTTTTGATAAACAAAATTTTGAAAAAGTCTAGCTTCTGAGGAAAAAGTCTAGCTTCTGACGAAAAGGTCATCTTGATCAAAACTTATTTTAGCTCATTGCTTGAAGTGGTAAAACAAATATTTGATAAACAAAATTTTTGATAAACAAATTTTTGATAAACAAAATTTTGAAAAAGTCTAGCTTCTGACGAAAAGGTCATCTTGATCAAAACTTATTTTAGCTCATAGCAGGAACTGGTAAAACTAAAAAAGGTCTTGTTTGGCATTTAACATCCTTACAACACCTGAAGTCAAATGACACTAGATGCCTAAGGAGTGTGAACAGTATTTAAATCTCTTACAGAAACTAATAAGCCTCAAAATTCATCATTAGACAAAATAAATTTTGAAGACACAAGGGCGACAATTTAGCAATGTAACAACATAGCATTGAACAGTTTATGACTGCATGCTGTTCTTAATCGTTTTACCACTGTAGACGATAATGGACTCATCCATATCAAAGCATGGCAGAGTCTACTAAAGTTACATAGGGGTGGAAGGTTTAATATGACTTCTAATTTTCTTTACTTTCAATTTTTCCTTTTTTTAATTTCTGTTATGTATTTCAATTTTATCAACGGAAATATCATGCAGTCATTAAAATTGAGACTGATATCTTCGAGGTACAAGCATCCTTGGAACAGATTTGCTTGAAAATCAATCCAATGACAGTGCTATTACTAGATAACAATATATTCTGATATAAATATGTCATTATTTTTCAGAAAACTTTCAATAATACATAAACTGTACGAAAATATCCAGTCTGCTTTGAATATTTTGCCTGGTGTCATCTTTTTTCTCTCCGTATGTTGTTTTTCTCACCGCAAGAATTTCAGGAATAAACCGTAAACTAGTGTTTTCTATTGTGGTCGTCATGACAACGATGCAAAGTTTTCTGTCCGCAGATTTAGCAACATTCAAGTCTGAAATATTTATGAGTGCATCGCTGTATATAGAATGGTCGATGATGCTTTCAAACTTTATAACAATCATGCAGTGATAACAACAAAATGTTTGCATTTTCACTAAAAGCTAAACACAATTGCCCTTTGGTAGGAACAGAATGGGTCAAGGGTCAGCTGTGAACGAGGGAGGATGCCCTTTGGTAGGAACAGAATGGGTCAAAGGTCAGCTGTGAACGAGGGAGGATGCCCTTTGGTAGGGATAGAATGGGTCAAGGTCAGCTGTGAACGAGGAAGGATGCCCTTTGGTAGGGACAGAATGGGTCAAAGGTCAGCTGTGAACGAGGGAGGATGCCTTTTGGTAGGGACAGAATGGGTTAAAAGGAATGATTGAATACAGAGGAAAGGGGACAAAGTGGTGAAAGATGGAGGAATGGTAAGGGGGGAAGCGGGGCTGGCGTGATGAATGATGGAAGAATGGGGGAATGGTGAAAGACTGAGGATGGGAAGGAGGGNGGGGGATGGTGAAAGATAGAGTTATGGGGCCCAAAGTGTTGACACTTGGCAAGTCCCTCTCTCACTAAGACTCGGTTAGTCTTCACTTAAAGCCTGTTAGTGTTTAGTACTGACATTTTGTTCGGATCATTGTGACAGTTTAGATTGAGCTGTTGTATAGTGTTGTTGATGACTTCTACCAAATCTTTGTCTAATGACTCATATAAACATGACATATTATGAAAACCCTTCAGGTATGTGAAGTAAAGCAATTTTTTTCTTTCTACGATCCGGGATGGAGAAAACACTGTGAAGCTTTCAAACAAAACAAAGCGGTCAACCTTTATTTATAACCAATGGAGATGACACACACTCTTACCTTCAAAGCAGAAAACTTTCATTAATATAAACAATGTTGAAAGCAAACAAGCTTTTTATAATTCATGGCCACAAAGAATACACCATTATAGCACAAGCCAGCCTACCCGGACTAGGAGTAGGACGGTTCATCAAACATTCATGTGAGTTGTTTCAGTGGCTCCGTGGACAATTCTATTACACTGGAAGTTATATAGCTCATGTTGCCATGTGGTAATTTCACCTGGTAAAAAAAAGGATAAAATATTCTGTATGTTTTGAATAACTGATAGGGTAGATGGCGTATTACCTGGTGGTTTGTGGTACTATAAACTTAACGACGTGTTGCATGTGGTATATCGCATGAAAACCATGTTCTGTACATTTTGTATATATCCATACTTAATAGACAGTTCACACCTGTTACCCGTTCGTGTAGGAAAATCGATGTCATTTTCTCCACTAATTGAGTCATCAGACTTTGGTAAATAAGGTCCTAAAGATATTTATTTTAGATTGTCTCCAGAAAATTTTACGCTTGAGTGATTATGATAATTTCTCACGTTCATCATGGTGTGAACATCGTTTTATCGGGAGTTTGCTGTTTGAGTGGTATTTATGGGAATCTCTCAGTTGTGTGTGTGTGTAGAAATTTGGATACTGGCTTATATATCAATACAACAGACACGCTACGCTGATCGGCCATGAAATCGCCCAACCGTGACGCACTCCGCAGGTATAGATATCCTTGTAATGGTGCTTGGTCATGTGAGACTGTACGAAGCTGACTGGATCCAATTATATTCCATTAGCACAAAACATTGTAAAGATGCAGATGACTTTGAGCACCAGACCATAGCATTCAGCTTGCCAGGGAAACTGGGGAAATATGAAGGGTGTCATGCATTTTTTATAAGTTGTATGATTTGTGGGGTATAACAGGGTAGGTGAGACAGTTACAACCGACCCTGTCGTAGATGTAAGAGGACTGCGAAGGCCGTGTGACAGAATTTTGGAGTACTTTGTCTATATAAACCTTGTCATTTTCAGTGTTACACGTCCACCATCAGTGTCTGCGTCAAAAGTTATCATAATACATACATCTATTCTGGACCACGCATACGTTTGACTGGATTACTGATTTATACCTATGCAACAAACATTATCTTCACCAAGATTCAGTATCTGTCTGAGAAGCCTCCTTCCCGTGTGATTATTGTGGTTAAGGTAGAAATCGTCGCAGTGCGTGATATTTGTAGAATGGCAAAACTCTAAATTCAATTCTCAATACTTAACGAGCACATGTGTGACAATCTGCTGTTACCCGACCAAGGACTAACAACGATTGTCAAAGACTGTTGGGAGTCTAGACGTTAATTTCAAATTTGTGAAAACATCCTCTTGGAACGAAATTTTCGGGAAATTTACGAGACATTTCCGTTAGAACTATCCTGTTGACACGATGAGCTTCTGTCCTTACGACTTAAGCACCTTGAAGGTAAGGCTTAAAATAATGTCACCATAATGTTTTAACTGCAGCGCTACAGAGATCGAAACTGACGACGGAAAAATCTTGATTTAAAACGAGTGGATTGTTTGTTTACGCTGGATAATTAGGAATTACCATCAACGATGTTTCGACTTATGTCTAACGATTTCTGTTGGTGGTAGTGTGTTAATTCGTTCACAGTGACTCGTTCACATCGAAACATGTCGGCTTTTTTCGTCATGCTCGATTGAACTAATGTCTATAGTGCTTGTGATGGCTTCAGCCGACGAGATATTAATCCCTGATCATTGCCCAAATTATACGTCTTTTCATGAAATATCTCCAAATGTGTGTTCACCATTAGGGTAGTTTTTTGTAGAAAACGTGTCGTTTATAATGATAGGTAAGAATTTCGCTGAGTGTTTGTTTATGGTGACACGTCTACCTCACATATGTTATAAAATATGACATTGCTGTAGTGGGTTCTTTGAGGGTAGCTGATCTGGTAATACTCCAGCAACTCTTGAACTGATGAGACATTTGACATGTCTGGTGAGTAAATCCATTATATAGAGTTGGTCGGTTTAGGCAGGTGTACAATCTATAGAGTTGGTCTTTATTATAGTTTAGTTTTGGTGCAATAGAAAAGTCTGCCTATATAGAGGTGGCCGAAGTCGTGTAAGTTTTGGTTGCCTATATAGAGGTGGCCGAAGTCGTGTAAGTTTTGGTTGCCTATATAGAGGTGGCCGAAGTCGTGTAAGTTTTGGTTCTCTATATAGAGGTGGCCGAAGTCTTGTAAGTTTTGGCTGCCTGTATAGAGGTGGCCGAAGTCGTGTAAGTTTTGGTTGCCTATATAGAGGTGCCTATATAGAGGTGGCCGAAGTCGTGTAGGTTTTGGTTCTCTATATAGAGGTGGCCGAAGTCTTGTAAGTTCTGGCTGCCTGTATAGAGGTGGCCGAAGTCGTGTAAGTTTTGGTTCTCTATATAGAGGAGGCCGAAGTCTTGTAAGTTTTGGCTGCCTGTATAGAGGTGGCCGAAGTCGTGTAGGTTTTGGTTCTCTATATAGAGGTGGCCGAAGTCTCGTAAGTTTTGGCTGCCTGTATAGAGGTGGCCGAGGTCGTGTAAGTTTTGGTTGCCTATATAGAGGTGGCCGAAGTCTTGTTGGGAGTGTTTTCCACAGAGGTGAGGTAGTATCCACAGCAATGCTGTGTTCACAGAGTAGTCTTATAAGAGGTCCAAGTTTCCATCCCAGCCCAGAGATCTTAACCCTAGTCACCTTCTGACACTCTAGAGACAGCTGTCCCCTGTCTCCTTCAATAGGACCAGTATCCATCCCAGACCTCAGAAAAATTGGCCCTCTCTGACCCTATAAGACAGTCTTCTGTCCCCAAGGTCATATTGGTCAGCCACATTCCTCTAACTTTCATTCTGTCTCCTTCACCTACGATTTGGCAAACTTTAACCTCCTTACCCTACACCAGAAATAATAAACATAGTTTACCTCCCTTACTCCAAAACCTATGCGCCCTCGTCACCTTTCCCTGCCATGGTCAAGAGTGTCATCCCCACCCAGGAAGGTTTTCCTGTCCTACTCTAGAGCTTATGAGCCCTATTCTCCTTTCCCAGCCCAGAATTCCAGCCCCAGTCTCTTTCCCAGAGTAGCAGCCCCAGTGTCCCTGGATCCCCAGAGTAGCAGCCCCAGTGTCCCTGGATCCCCAGAGTAGCAGCCCCAGTGTCCCTGGATCCCCAGAGTAGCAGCCCCAGTGTCCCTGGATCCCCAGAGTAGCAGCCCCAGTGTCCCTGGATCCCCAGAGTAGCAGCCCCAGTGTCCCTGGATCCCCAGAGTAGCAGCCCCAGTGTCCCTGGATCCCCAGAGTAGCAGCCCCAGTGTCCCTGGATCCCCAGAGTAGCCGCTCAAGTGACCCAGGATCCCCAGAGTAGCAGCCCCAGTGTCCCTGGATCCCCAGAGTAGCAACCCAGTGTCCCTGGATGCACAGAGTAGCAGCCCCAGTGTCCCTGGATCCCCAGAGTAGCAACCTAGTGTCCCTGGATCCCCAGAGTAGCAGCCTCAGTGTCCCAGGATCCCCAGAGTAGCAGCCTCAGTGTCCCTGGATCCCCAGAGTAGCAGCCTTAGTGTCCCTGGATCCCCAGAGTAGCAGCCTCAGTGTCCCTGGATCCACAGAGGAGCAAACCCATGATCAGTGTTCCTCCCCGGAGCAGCCCCTGTCTCCCTCCACAAAGTAGCAGCCTCAGTGTCCCTGGATCCCCAGAATAACGTCTCCCTCCCCTGAAGTAACAGCCAGTCTCCTTAAACACTTGTTGAGAAGTTGATTGACATCTATTAGACTGATGTGTTGAGCAAGCTGAGTCTCACAGATACACAGACCTGGGAGGGGATGTCTGGACTTCATCAACTTCTCTATAGGGCATCAAAGTAATACAGAACTAGCTAGGACTCAAAATGGGTTAAGGTACTGCCTCATCCCTCTGTTAACATGAAACATGGTATATTGAATTCTAGTTTAAACCTTTCTATACTTTGAAGTCTTTCTTGTGAAATTTATTCCTTAAGGCCATATTTGGAATAGATGTATTTTAGATTATTTTTTTAATCAAATTTTAATTTCTTGAATAGTGTTGAACTTTTACAAATATTCTTGTGGTTTAATCCAGTATTTCTTTATCAATAACAATTAACTGATCAGTTACAAAATGGTTTCTCCAGTATTTGAGACAATGGACTCTAAATCTTGTGCAGTATCCATACACTTTGTCAAGTATACTAGACAATAGGGAAGGGAGTACCCAAAACCTTGTCCAGTATACTAGACAACAGGGAAGGGAGTACCTAAAACCTTGTCCAGTATACTAGACAATAGGGAAGGGAGTACCCAAAACCTTGTCCAGTATACTAGACAA